TTTCTTTCTTTCTTTCTTTCTTTCTTTCTTTCTTTCTTTCTTTCTTTCTTCCTTCTTTCTCCTCCTCCTACTCCTCCTCCTCCTCCTCCTCCTTCTCTTTCTCCTTCTCCTTCTCCACAGGCACACACCACCATGCCCGTCTAATTTTTAAAAATTTTTCGTGGAGACGAGGTCTCGCCCTGTTGCTCAGGCTAGCGTCAAATCCCAGAGCTCAGGTAATCCTCTCACCTCCACCTCCCAAAGTGCTGGGATTGCAGGCGTGAGCCATCCATGCCTGGCTCCTCTTTTTGTTTTTTGGAAGCTTTTAATATCTTTTCATTGTTTCCATTTGATCTGAAATGACATCATGATGTGCCTTGATGTAGATCTTTTTTTATACATGTGTTAGATGGACATTTTCTGTGTAGTAACTTCTGCTCTTAATTCAGTTCTATTTACTTGAATTATTTTGTATACTTTTTTGTGAATAATTGATAGGATAATTATTTGAAAATGTCTTTTTTGTTTTTGTGAAGCTTTTGTTCATTTTTTTCTCTGATAGTTTTTACTTAAAATAATTTTTGTTTTTATTATGCCTTGTTTCATGAATGCATATCTTATCTTGCTGAAGATATTGCAGCTTTTTTTGAAATGTTTAAAAATGCTTTTGGCTTTCTGTTTCCTTTGAGTTCCTCTGTGTTTCGTTTCGGTCTGTGTCTTATTGAAAAGGTTCTTTTTTCAGATGTTTGGTGATTCATGGCTATTTACTCATATAATGGTGAAACTCCCAAACCTGATTAGACGTTTTGTGTTTGTCACTAGTGGGTTTTGCTCTAGCATAATCTGGTTAGAGTATTTCTAGTTGGATGATTCCTAGTTGTTGATATCTGAAGACCATTTCCACAAGAATGAGTCCTCCAGGTTCCCATTTTGGAAGTAATCCTGTTTGCCAACAGTCCTGCAGCTTAGTGAGATAAGAAGCTTTGGTATCTCATTGTTTAGTAAGTCAGCTTTTCACTTAATACATTTGAGTTTTCAATGTATTGCTTTCACCTTCATCTGGGCCAGAAAGTCCAGAGTCTTAGGTTCTATTACTCCAAAGAACGGGCTTTTGCCAGTGTGTGTTGTGCATGTGTGTATGATGGGAGAACATAGGGGGGCTTTTAAACTACTTTTTATACAGACTTTTAGCTAGTTCTGCTTTTTAAAATCCTTATATTCCTACTACTTGTGCCTTAAAATCATGGGCCTTTTTGGGTTATATCAAATCAACCTGCTTTTGGGCTTTCCCATCTTCTGGCTTAGATTTCAACACTCTGGTCTGCTGATTCTTTACCACCCTTTAATCCCTTTCTACTTTCTATTGCTACTATTATCTTTTGCTTAATTGCTTGTTCTCTTTTTTTCCTTGTGGTTTTGTGTCTTTTTTTTTCTCTTCTAATCTCTTTTCTGTCATTATAGTGGATTTCAGGAGAAAGCAGTGGTAAATTCTGTGTTAAATTTGCCATGTTATAATCAAAAGTGGCTTTTTCGGCCAGGCTCGGTGGCTCAGCCTGTAATCCTAGCACTTTGGGAGGCCGAGGTGAGTGGATTGCCTGAGCCCGCGGGTTCAAGACCCAGCCGGGCAGCTTACAAGACCTCATCTCTACAATAAATAAAAAATTAGCTGGGCATGGTAGCGCGCACCTGTAGTTCTGGCTACTTGGAAGGCTGAGGTGGAAAGATCACCAGAGCCCAGCAGGTCGAGGCTGTGGTGGCCGGGAGTGTGTCACTGCACTCCAGTCTGGGCGACAGAGTGAGACTCCAACTCAAAAAAATAAAAATATTAAAAAAAAGGCTTTTTCTACCTTGAAAAAAATTTTCGCCTAGATCATCTTACTCTTTACAGCTGCTTTTATCTAACTTTTTTTCAATCATCAAACTTTTGAAACAAACTGTTCAGTATTCACTAATTTCGTGTTCTTGTTAAAGAAGTATTCCTTTTGTAACCTTTTATTATGCATGCTGTGTACGTAATTTCAGTCTCTAACTCATATGAGACCTCCTAATTACCAAATCCAAAATTTTTCTTAAATTTTCATTTGTTTTTACCTGTCAGTATTGTCTGATTCTGTTATATATGCAAAGAAAAAGAATAGCTTTTTATATGGTAGGAAATATGCTAATAAAGCTTTAGTTTTGCACAGAAATTCAGTAATTACTGTTTGATAGAGTTTTAAAGACTTTAAAGAAATTTGGACTTTTTCATATGCATAGTCTATTTCTTTGGTGAATTGCCTGCTCAGTCATTTTTCTCTTTACCTATTTTTCTTATTGACTTCTAAAAGCTTTTTGCATGCTAAGATTATTAGCCCTTTGCTACATAATGTTGAAATAATTTCTAGTGTTTTAAAATTTCTTTTGTGTCATATATATATATACACACATATATATGTATATCTTGATTTGTGAAGCTTTTAAGTTTTATATAGTCAAGTCTACCTTTTGTAATGATCTTTACATTATGTGTCATATTTAAAAAGCCTTTTCTATAAAAGTATATACAGTAAATATTGTTTGTGCAGAATTTGATCTCTTCTAGATTAATGGTAATTCTAAAGGGTAGTTATCTTAACCACAAAATAGCACAGTTGTTTAACAAGTAATTTTTAATGCAAGTAAGATATAGCATGTTATATGAGGTATTAAGGAATGGTAAGAAATGATCAAATCTGACAGGCCTGTATATGTCAGAAAACCTTTTATTTGATATAAATATATTATGTAAATTAGCTGAAGAATGTTTAAGTGTCTGTTACTTTATACACCCCCATTTTAAAAGTTTGAAAACAGAAGCCATGTCTTTTTTTTAATAGCCACGCTATACCCTCTTAATATCTTTTTATTTTTGAATGGGAGTCTTACTCTGTCACCCAGACTGGAGTGCAGTGGCTGCTCCCGGCCACTGCAGCCTCTACCTGCTAGGCTCTGGTGATCCTTCTGCCCCAGCCCTCCAAGAGCTGGAACTACAGGCGCATGCTACCACTTCTGGCTAATTTTTGATTTATTGTAGAGATGAGGTCTCGCCAAGTTGCCCGGGTGGGTCTCGACCCTGTGGGCTCAGGCAATCCACTTACCTCGGCCTCCTAAAGCGAAAAAAGGGTATCTTTTAATGATTCACACAAATATATTAAGGCATCTCCACGTAAGTATGGTGAATTGCATTTTTTTGTTTCATTTTCAGCTTTTACAAGAAGCTGAATTATGGAAAGAACAAGTGAATGAACTTAATAAGCAGAAAATAACATTTGAAGACTCTAAAGTACATACAGAACAAGTTCTAAAGGATAAAGAAAATCACATCAAGGTAAATAGCTCTACTGGTTTTAGTGACTGAGTTGGCTAAAGTTTTATGCTAACTCTGAAATTTGAAAACTTTTTTTTTTAGCAAGCTTTATTTTCATAATAATTTGACCAAATTTTCAAGTGCTCCTTGAAGACTTACAGATTTGTAGCATATGTATACACATCTATATGAGGGGGGATCCAAAAAAACCCAGAATTTATTTATTTAGAAATATGTATTTATTTTTACACGTTTAAACTTCAGTCACCTTCAAAGCACTCTGTTTGGTGCTATACAGTTTTTGAGATGCTTTTTCCACTGCTCAAAACAGTTTTTGAACTTGTCAATTTTGATGCTTTTTGGTACTTCTGCCATTTTTTGTTTCACCTTTTTCCACATCGGCAAAATGTTTTTCTTTGAAAACTTTTTTCATCAGGGAAACAAAACAAGTCGCTTGGGCCTCGATTGAGTAAATACAGAGGTTGGGGCATGGGGGTCATGTCATTTTTGGTCAAAAACTGCTGAACACTCAGCACGATGTGGGCAGGTTGTTTGTGCAAATCACTCAACCAAATGTGTTGAAAGAATCTCTGAAAAAAATTCACTCAAGCTGAATGCAGCCTCTTCCAACAATGCTAGTTGGTCTGTTGATGCCAGTGGGTTCCTAGAACACTTGCCTAATGGGGGAAGTCTTGTACGATTAGGGACTTACCCTCCAAAAGATAATTCTGGTTTTGGTTTTTTGGGATCCCCCCTATATGTGTGTGTGTGTGTGTGTGTGTGTGTGTGTATGTATGTTCATAATCACATATATCAACACTCTGTGGGTCTTCTTTTCTTCTCTATATTTTAGCCTAGGTATTTAATAAAGAAAAACGAATAATGATTTTGCCTTTTCTCTTTAGGCTGCCATCTGCTTCTATTGTTAAGAAGCGATTGGAAAGAATTTGAGAAATTTAATAGAGAGTTAAAGATATATATAAGGATTGAATATCTTTAAGACCTAGATTAGCTGATGTATGTACCTTCACAGACACGAATACTTTTTAAAAAATAAATTTAATTGAAACTTGATTCTATTTATGGAATGAAATAACTGATATTATTCTTAGGAGTGTTTGACTTTTTCCTACTCCCTGTTTTCTCCCCACCCCTTTTCCTGTTTATTTTAAAAAATCTTAACACTTTCAAGATACAAACAGATACTCAGGTTTGAGTATCAAGTAATGAAATGTGAAACTAACATTTTATAATTTGTACAGTGAAGTAGATGTCCTATTGAAAGTAATACATTTGTGCTAGTTATGGTGCTACTAAGCATATTTTCAAGATTTTAGCTTTATGAGTTTTATTCAAAATTTCTCAAATTGTTCTATTTTTTTCCCCAAACTTACTCTACAAAGGGGCTTGGGATTCTTCCTAAACAGAACAAGAATTTAGATATTAACTTCAAACTCTGCCCAAAACTATAGGCCATGTTCAGAGGCCTAGAACTCTGAAGAGAGGGAGGAGATTGAAGGGTGAAAATTGTAGATCAGGGTGGATTTTTAGGTGGGTTCTTACAGAAAAATAAATGGTACTGTCATTTGATTATAGTGTTGGAAAATCTTCCTTTATTCAAGAAAAGTAAAAAAAATACTTTGGAAAACCTCTAATATTCCCAACCAGGTTTTTTTTTTTTTTTTGAGTTGGAGTCTCAGTCGGT